CTCACAAAAAATGTGGGCCCAGTTATTAAATGTGATGGAATTTTGGTTAACTTTTGTTTCCTGCTTTCTACTCTCAGAAAACAAAGGTTATACTATAAAATGACTTAGGTGTACATACTCGCTTTTTCCCAATGTTTGGTTAGATTTTTTTATTGTTCGAAAAGTTCTTTTCGGGAAATTATGCAAAAAGAAGCTGACAATCAAAAATTAAAAAAAAACAAAAATTACATATATTTGCAAAGTCGCGCGCAAAGATCAAATTATATATTCGAAAACTACCTAAAATTCTCTAAAACATTCGTCTAATTTCAAGACCTGACAGACCGGTACTCACACTTTTTTTTATTAAAAATCTTTAGCATCAACATTTCAAAGTAAATTTTTTGACAAGAAAATAAGAAAGTACCAAATAAATGATAAATACCTTCACCCGAATATTCCACGACATTTTAATAATTGATTACAGTTGAAAAAGAAACACTTTCTTTAATGGGTTAATCGCCAAAGGAAACTAATCTGATTAGTCAGTATCGTGCCCATGTCCGTATTTTTTTTTTTGGAAATGTATCGTTCGTGAAGAAGGGGGGTGAGTAAATAAAGTAAAATTTGGTATTTATGACTTTTACTTTTCCCTCTCCTAAGTCCAACCGGGTTTTTTATCAACTGCCACCGTGACTTTTTTCTACCTGCCTCCATATAGTCGAAACACTGCCTCAGCCGGTCTTTTCGTGACTTGTGCCACTTTCGGGTTCCTTATTTGGTACGAGACAGCTATGTCGGTTGTGGGGTGCCAGAAGTTTCTGTCATACCAAACGAAATTGTTGCTAGCTTGTCTACCGGTGTGCCGTACTGTTTCAACGAACGCACTGCAGGTGATTATGGTGGAGCCCCCTCTTGATCTAGTGGTTATAGCGGGGGTTATGACCTTCAGATTAAGAAGGGGTATCGGAATGCCGCATTTGACGGAGTGGATATCGGACGGTGAGTTGCAAACGGTTACTGGGGGACAGACTTGTCGGTATGTGGCAGGATCGTTGGGACAGTAGCCCCAATGGTCGTGTCACGTATCGATCCATTCTGAGTGTTGGGGTTGTGGGAAAGAGGCCGGACTTCGAGCTTTGTCTGAGTTTGGGGTTTCTCCTAACTAGGCATGGTCCTCTTAATGCATTTTTTCACAAGAGGATCCTAAATGACTCTGAGGGATGTGAATGCGGAGCGTAGTTGGAGGATGTTTAACACGTGCTCTGTGAATGCCAGAGATACTCGGACGTGCGTAATCTTGGCACCATGGGGGTAAAATGGACGGATGGACGGTACGACTTTAATACTGCCCTCTCCACGGGTTCGACATCGACAATTTTGGGGGACTTTGCCCGAGAGGTATTTAGGAGGCGTAGACGAGCAGAGTAATCTGTGAGTTGATGGTCACCAGTGCAGAGTGGTATGTCATCTCAACTGGTAGTAGCTTCGGCTACGAGGACTTACCGGAGACTTAATTCTGGTACCACGGGGAACAGAAGCCCTCAGAGTTAACTATGGCATGTTCTTGGATACGGTGAAATGCGTTGCATTGCAACCGGATTCCGACCCCATAGCACAGCAGAGGATTAGATAGGCCTCGAACCCTACCAAGGTGGATATTGTGTCCATTTCGCACTGCCGTTTGGTACCGAGATGCTTACATGTCGGGGCCCTGATCTTCGCATTGATTTGATCCGTGTGCTTTTGAGCACCGTGAGGTTAGGCCGTCATCGGCAGGTAATCACGTTAAACCTCCGACACATCAGTTGGTTTCCATGCTAACTAATTTATGTTTTCGAATTAGTTCACCATCAACCCAATTCTTAGATCTATTGATGTCAGAAAAAAACGTATTTTGAAACGTGGGTCACAAAATATTGCAATAATGAAACATTACGGACAATACGGGACGATGTGTAAGCATGCATAATAGTTCGATTTTCATCACATTTCAAAATAAGAGTTGCAACCTTCGTAACCCAACCTAACCTGACCTAAAATAAAAATACACCACCCTTTTGCTTAGCGGCATTCATTGTTGTTTATCTTTTCTCTTTGACATTTCTCCTCTATTTACCAAAAATTATCGATAAATCAGTGTTGCAGAAGGAGAAGTTATCTTTTTAATGAGGGTTGACTTTATAACTTGGATTTTAGAGGATCAATTTTGTATTCTTAAATACGTTTTGGATAGTTCAGTTCGAAAAATTAGATACTCTGGTCATAAGTATTTCGTTAAACAAAAAAACGAATATAGCAATTTTATAAAATTTACTGAGGCCAGCAGTTTACCGTATATCCGATCGGCTCTTAAGGTATCCGGAACCCGGATATCCGGCAAAATTTATATCCGGCACATCTCTTTTTTCTAAACTATGTACATACATGAGGGTTGCCACGTGTTTTAAAATTTAAATTCAACTTTAATTAAGGGAATTAGGTGACTTAGATATGCATCGCAATACGGGTGCCAGATGAAAAGGGTTTAAAAAGTCTTTAGTTTCAAAATAAATTATAGTGTTGTTACCTGTTTATAAAGTTAAATTCGATGTAGATTTGTAATCGGTTAAATAAATAAAGAAAGAATGGATTTATATATGCTATGGTAATCCCCATCTCGCCAGCTAGGCTGCTTAAAAAGTTATAAGCGAAAATATTTTGGTTTCCCCATAAGGCTTACATTGCAATCCAACTGTTTAAAACGTTTTTTCTCTAATTCAAGTTTTTCGACTTAGGCGGTTATTGCTTATGACGACAGACATAAGATACTGTATGAAATATTAAAATATGGTTGTCAAACGAAAAATTATTAGGAAATATTAAGCTTGAACAGTAAGAATATTAAAGAGGGCTGCCGCCTGTTTAAAAAGATAAACTCAATTTATTTAATAAGTTAAAGGAATTAATAAAAGATGGGTAGCACTTGATATGTTTGTAAAATTCAATCCAATAAAATAAATAGATAAAAATCACGAACAGTTTGAACTTGAATGTGCTCTTAATAATATCACGTATTTTACGTCTTAGTTTAGCGGTTGCGGCTCCGGCAGAGAGCGCAGGTCAAGACGAAGGCGCTGGAACGATCATTTTTTTGTTGCAGGCAATAAGAAAACGTGTCACCCTCGGCAACAAAAAACCGTCTAAAAGGTCGGGTCATTTTCTTATTGACCGAATGAGTAGTCTTTTTGTCGCTTTATTATTGCTACAGACGATATTTGAGCAATAATTACTTGGGACAATCAATTTTATTCTTTTAAGGCTGTGTTCCAATCGGTAACATTTTTCTCCGTGGGGAGACAAGATGAAAAATTTTACTGTGGCGTAAAATTCCACTCTTTAATACCGCCAATCAATATTATGTGTGGATATACATTTTTAGAAGCTGTCATAATTTTACCTAGCCCCTTGAGATGATGTTCGTATTCACCACGAGAAATATCAATTTTTAGTTTGATCCGTCAAAATTTCCTCTTTTCTATCAATTGACACTGGCCCTTAATATTTCATTTATTTTTGAATACAAAGTTAGAATTTAAAAACGAAATTAATTGTTTCCTTTCTATTTCTATTTTTTCAATCCCTCCTTTGGTATAAACTAAATGCTTTTGGAGAATACGGGACGGGAAATCCCTCAGTATGGGAATTTTTGATAACATATTCTTAAAATGATAAGAAAGAAATGATGTTGCTGATTTGTTACCCGGGAAATAAATCTCCAAGTCGCCTAATTTTTCTCATATTTTGCATAGTGGGAACTGTCGATCACGAATATCTTTATTCAGGGCCTGATTCGAAACGAGGCAGACTAAACGTGATACGTCATTAAGCAATTGATGAAAATGTAATTAAATTAAATGGAATTTGGGGAGATATCGATTGTTAACTCCGAAAATGAAAAATTCGGCTATTAACCCTAAATTTTTTAAACTAAATGTACATATAATGAGCTTGAAAGCGATATTTTAAATTAAATTTTTCTTTCTGAATCTTTTGATATTGCTTAGTAAATATGTATTACCTATGCACTAGGACGCATAAGGCAACGAAAATTTAAATTATTTAGCATAAGAAAATAATTAAATGAACGCTCGTGAATAATATAATTGATTTCTATGTAGGAAATCTCGTATTCAGAGTTACATACCTAGCGCGAAGAAGCTAATATGTAAATCATAATCATAAAAAATACTCTTAGATATAGACATCTATTTTTTGAAATTTTATTGTTATGTATGTATGTATATAAATACCCGAATTCGGTACAATTCATGTTTTTGTAAGCAATTGTAAATTGATGAGTTCATTTATTTATGTAATGTTTCCATTACGGTGGAACTATTTTAACTCGACATTTTTTAGGATGTTTAGGAAATTCTTTTCGATCTTACGGAATTCCATGTTAAAAGAAGTTTCCTCAAAATGTGTGAAATCAGCTTTGTATAAGTGGCAATTTTTATAGAAATTATTCCAACAAAAGGCTTTCGATGTGAAAAAATTACATACGTTTTGCATATACTGCAGAAGAAAATAAATATTTAATAAATGCAATTGTTAGAAAACCCATAATGAGAGTTTCATTTACATCTTCTGGTTTGTAAGTATTAATGAAAATGCCTCTTATTAAGTAAGTATTGCAATTATATATGTATGCTTTATTTAGTTTCTTTTGCATTGGTCGAATATGTAATAAATACGTATAAGTGTGATAATAGTAAATAGTATTAAGGTTAATTTGAAGTGAAACATTTCATGTTTTGTAACTTCTAATATGTATGTAAGTCATTATTATTTATTTTTCTTTTGATAAAAATATTGGGTTCTAAAACAAAGATTTTCAATAATTTGCTTTCCGTTGCAGTTATTATTATTTTTTATTTGAAAACGATTGAATAGCTGTCAAAAAGCCGAAGAATTTGCTATTTTCAGTCAACGCGGCACCGTCGTTGTGCCCTTCTCGAAAAGCAGCCCTGGTGGTTGACTATTTATTTATTATTATATTCACTTCATTTTCCACAACGGATCGAGCTCGTTTAGCGGATCCTTTATTTCTTCCTTTTCCTTGGAAGCAATTTGGGGCGCGATTTTCATTTGATAAGAAGTCATGATGCCACCTGAAATTATTAGAGTAATCATTTATTATGACAAATCTGGCGATTACTTAAAGGCGGCATACACGGTGTGTCTGACTCACGAGTCGGTTTGGATGTATTAGTGAAAATAAATGTTTGGCAACATAGACGGGGCGTCTGGCTCGCGAGTCATCTGTGTACGTGTCGACTCGCCTTTAAACTACACATATATGCCAGTTTTGTTAAATTTTGCATTTTCGGAAACGAATAGAAAAAGTGCCACAGTTATCATCAATTTTCGTATCCGGATGATGTCATTTGAAAGGAATAATTATAATTTAATTGCTCAAGCTAAACATTTGAAAGCATGCACGCGTAGTTGGCAGTGGCTGAGCGTGCAGAGGAGTTTGCCGCTATTTGTTAGCTTCCAGAAGGTGCCGAATTCCGTCAGGCGCTTCCTAATTTTATTTTATTTCTTTTGAACCATGAAAAAGTATTTGTGAAGTGCAGAAGGAAAGCGTATTGAACGAAGAATTCAATCAGACAAATTTTAGAAAAAACAGCCAAACACGTATCCGTTTCACATACTGTTGTCTGTACATACGTTTCTGCCGTACACTTTAGTGGGAAAACGGATCGTCAAAGTATCCGGAAATGAAATCAGTAAACGGACAAACATCCGCATTTTATCCACTTTTTTGTCCTTTTCCGGATCGGTTTTAGGATGTTTTGCTGGCTTTGTAGTTGACTCATTCATTTGTGTGTGAGTTAGACGTAGCGTGTATGCCGCCTATTAGTTACACCGACATGATTCTGGCATGACTCTGAGTGACTCAACTGCGTGTAGTCGAAAAGTCTACACGTATGTACACAGATGACTCGCGAGTCAGACGCACCGTCTATGGTGCCTATTATGCATAGTCCGTCAACGTCAAGAAAATATTCAATGGTTGTCAACAAAATGTGCTAAAAGATTTTTGTAAAACCAAACACCTTCAAGTTAACTAAATCTTTCACACCATTTCTTTTCTTGGCTAAGCACCTGCATGGTGTGATTTACTTTTTGAAAGGACAATCAAAGCAAGCTTCACATGCAGTAATTTTTGAATATTTAGTCAAAAAGTACATTATCTATTGCCACTTGCAAAAAATTCATAAAAGATATAGTACAACGCTTATAGTAAATCTGATAAGAAATATTCATGGCTATCACAGAATCCATCGTAGACCAATTTCTCGAGAAATCTACGATAATGCTAGCATTGAATTAGAATAGCTACGAACGTAGCGTATATGTATTTTCAAAAACACGTTCGTAACAATTCGGATTCAGTGATCGCAGATTTCACGAAAAATCGGACTACGATGGATTCTGTGACAGCCTCCATTTATTCCACCTAGTACATATATTCATATGTGTATGTATGCATGTACAATAGTGGAGTACAATACAAGGGATAATTACTTTTCCAACATTTAAAAAAATTAATCTTTTACGTACGTTTATTGAGCACATCATGTGCATGATTTAGAACAATTTGCATCGACTGCTCCAAAGTCTCCATATCGCGCAGAGCATGTTGCCGTTGCAAACAAATGCGATACCAAATGTCAACCACATCTGCATAACATAAGAAAATAATTTTGAGTAAGCAAATAATTTATTAGGTACTGAGGTATATACACATACTAATTAGTACTGGACGAGTCGTTTGTAAAGCTAAAATAGCGCAAATAGCTATTGCAACAAGTTCTGAACGTTCAGATCCATTCAAACAATTCATTATTAGTGGTGCGCTTGGCGTATTAAACTCTAGGCAACGTTGTTGGTGTGCTTGCAAAGCGTTGCGTGCAATACCGATAATTTGCGAAGGTAAGCTGTAATTGAGAGAATATTAGTATGTATATATATTTAAAAATTCAACAAAAACGGATAATAGGTGTATTCGTCTAAACGCGTAAATGGCTCGTGACCACGTAAACTTACTTAATATTGTATAGAAAGCCGGTTTATTTAAGAGGTTTAGGCGGATACGAGAATTTAAGCGTTTAGACTAAGATATATCGCATACCCTCTTCAAAAGAGTTACAACTCAAAAATCAGGTAATAAGACTATTGTGGATCGTACTGATTCAACGCAAATAATATAAAAATATAATCATGAAGAAAAAAAAATTTGCATAAATAAAAGATAAATATAAATCTACGAATGGAATTATGCAAAAAATGGATCTACATTTGTTTTTGATGTGTGCAATATGTTTAGTAGTATTATTTATTCCGAAACCTAAAATAAGCATGAATTTCCACAAACAGACCAATTGATTTTACTGTACGATATATAATTTTTATTATATTAATGCTGCAACAACAACATAGCAGCCTAACTTTGTTTGGCATTTTTGAAATTGAATAACTACTACTATTCATATTTTAGTTTCACTTTACTCTAAATGTTTAGCTTTTTTTAAATGGTTACTTTTGAAGATCCTAAATCCTACTTGTTTACCTTTTTGTCCAAGCCTTAATTTGCAACACCGACAAATCGACAATCGCATCAGCGCCATGCATGGATAGCTTAAGATTGTATTCCACACAATGGGAAAGCGAATTAATTTTAACACACTTCACAGTGAAATCATCATAATGATTTTCTAAATCGCGTTCCTGTGGCCAGTATGGATCCAACATCTAATAAAGTTCAGGGATTTTTTTGGTAACAAATGTTCACGATAAACTACCAGCAAACTACAACTGAATTATACTCACTTCATTTGGTGTATGCAAACAAGCAACTGTGCGCGCCTTTTGTGACCAAATCATAGACCAAAAATCATTGATAGTGTTTTGCTGAGGAGTTTGTGCTATTATTAGATTTGGACATCCTGTGCCGAGATTCTAAAAATAGGTGAAATAGAGTACTATTACGTTTTGAGAGATATACATCTCTATGAATGATACCTTAATGTACGCGGCATTTATATAGTCATCAGTGTCCTTTTCCAATTTTACACGCGCATGATCGTAAGGAATACAATCCAGTGAACGATTTTTCTCTGGGAATAATTTAGCTATGGTAGTTGTCCGTTTGCTGGCATCCTTTGAAAGCAAGTCATGTAATTCCTTCCATTTGGCCGACAGTTGCGTATTTCCATTCAGCATTTTGACATTTAAACTTTCGATTATCTTTTCGTAACGTTCCACTTCTTTATGGAAATATTTTAATATTTTGTCGTCGTTGAAAGGGTCAAAAGGTTTTAGTTGAAAAGCAGCATTTGGTGACACATTGGAATGTTTATCTGCTGGCTGATCGTTACGCACAGAAACCGAATCCCAATCAAAGTTCGTATCTAGTGAGCTCAAATCTGAACAAGTTGAAAGATTATCCAAACTAGGTTTTCGGGTTGCAGGTGAGTTGATAGGCGAGACCGCAACTTTTATAGATGCTAGCGGTGGTGAAAGCGGAGCAGCTAACAGCGTCGGTGCTTCTAAATTTGCTGTTGGCGTTAATGAGGCCGCTAAAGTAGAACTCAAGTTCTTCTCCGGTGAAGTCTGAAATTACATTTTATTAAAAGCACAGGTATTATTTAGTGAATGATTATTATGTTTTACTTCTTTTGGTGTTGATTTGAGGTTAGCTTTAACTGCAACTTGGCTACTCGGTGGGCTTGCCACTATTTCTGGCTTCAAAATTGGCTGTGGCAATATTGGCGGTGGAACACTTAGCCCACCGTTCGAGAAATCAATATCGGTCAACAAATCAATATTAGTTGTTTTTTTAATTGGTTTTGGTGTCGGTTTATTGAAGTCGTGTGACTGCGCAACAGTAGACCCAGGTTTCATATCAGTTGGTGCTGGACTATCAGAGTTTGACGTTTTTTCGTTTTGTTTCGTACCAAAAGAGTACTCAGAAGCGCTTTTCGTAGTTTGTGTCGGTGCTATGGAAGCTCCTCCGCTTTGCATATATGTAGACTGTTGTTGTTGATAATTTGTTTGTTGAGGTTTTTGCTGAACTTGCTGCTGCTGCGCTGAAGCCAGTGATTGCTGAAGCAGCTGTTGGTGGTGTTGCTGCAGTTGTATTGCATAAGGCGATGCTATACCTTGTGATTGATAACCATATGGGGCTGAGTAATAGCTTAAATTAGATGATTTGTCCGTGTTAGATGAAATCGTGTTGGATGTTTGCCCAACAGAAGCCACATTTGACTTGGTGTGGGATACAACAGGTGACTAGAACAGAGAATTATAATCAGTTCAACTGCAGTGTTTTAAGTACATATTTAAAAGAATATTGCTCACTTCAAAACCAGTAGCCACATTTATCTTACTAGCGTTTTCAGAATCAGTCGTACCAACAGTTGCCAATTTTGGTGTGCTTGAAGATGTGTATTGGCTATAGAACTTATCACTACGATGTTGATATCCGCTGCCATATTCATATTGACCAGTTTGTGGATTGAAGCTGTAACCAGGATGTTTGGTAATTGTTGAATACGGATACAAGTTTGGTGTTGTAACGTTTGACAAAGTGCTTGCTGTAATCTGAACACCTTGCTGAGCCACAGACGAGGCAGGATATGCTTCGCTGCTAACTGCATTAATTCCACAACTAGCAGGTGGATAATTAGGCTGTGATTGCGGCAACTGCTGCTGGAAAGCATTATTTTGTTGATATTGAGATGTACCCCCTACGTTGCTTGCTCCGCTAGAGTACGGTGACTGTTGCCAGGAAGTCAGCCCATATGTGGCTTGCACAGAAAGTGGTGACGCGCTCGCGGGTGCTTGAGCAATATCAGAAGTTGCAACATATAAAGGTCGTGAAGTTGGTGTGCCCACGTTATATGCAGATGCTTGCGAATAGGGCTGCTGTACCTGGAAGATTAATAAAAAAATAATAATAAATATGTATAATACCTAATCGCTTTTTTCGTACAGTATGCATTTGGCTTGCAGTTTGCGAACCAATTGGTGCAGCTCTGGCATCCGTTGCTGTGCCGCTAATTGATTGGGTCGGCAAGCAACCCTGTGTCGGCGGCTGTGATCCAAGATTATATGCCTGTATATTATTGGTATTTAATTGATAGCGCGTATTGGTAGGCACAGTCGAAGCTGCTTGTTGATGCTGCATAAAATTGCTTTGATTAGCTGCATAACTTTCAGCAGCTACAGAAGTCGGCTGCTGTCCATATGCCGGATTATTGGGCACTGTTTGCTGCATCATTAATTGCTGTTGTTGCTGAAGACGTTGTTGCTGTGCGAACTCGTCATTTTGTCCTAAAGTTGTGTGGTTATTGTAACCACCTGTTAAATTTGGAATGCTTGAGTTCAAATGGGCAAATTGTGAATTTGGTGATGCTTGCAATTTATACGCGGGGGGCGCAATATTTTGCTGCTGCTGTTGATACATTGGATTGGTATAGCCTGCGGTGTGAGGATCATAATACTGTTGCTGCTGTAAGCTGTATGGTGGAGGTGGTTCGTTGGGTGCTACCACGTGCACGGCTCCACTAGAGTTAATTGCATGTGCAGTGTAGAAACTGCCTGAAGAACAAGCAGCTTGTGTAGGATTTTCTGAGCCCAGTGGATTTGGGCGTACTGGCGGAATGTATTGGGCGTTTTGCGAAACAGAGTTCTTTGCTGCAGAATCGAACGCGCCTGCTGCAACTATACTCCCAGCGGTTGGGTTTTTCGATTTGAGATAATCACGCAATTTGGGTGTGCTTGATGTTGATGTAGTTGAATTCGGCACAATATTTGATGAAAGTGGTTTAGCAGTGTTAATAGGTATGGTAGGCGTGACATTCGTTTGATTTTTCAGTCGCTGTTGTCGTTCTTCAAATTGCACATCACGTGCTGCTTTCAATCGAGTCAACAATTTTTGAACGTTGCCTACAGGAATAATTAATAAAATAAAAGAAACGTCTATATATACCTGAGATTAAACATCTCTACATACTTGATAATTTTTTATAAAATTCCAATCCTTTGGCAGATTTTGCCAACAAATCCTCATACACATCGTAAGAAGCAGCTAAAGAGGAGAAGAAAGCCTCTCGTTTGTGTTTAACATCGGCCAGTGTCTTTAGCACAGGTGCCGCTTTAGCATATGCTTCTGTAAGTGCTTGCAAAATATTCTTTTGTGCGAGCATATTTTGATCTAGTAGTTGCGTGAGACGCTCGTGTTTGGCCAACTCTCGTTCAAAGAGCAACTGGAGACCCTCGTCACTGTCATGCGCAATCACCTTAGCTGTAATGTCGTCATCATTTACTGCAATACGCAAATCTGCATGAAACTGAGCGCGTTGGGCTTTCATTTCGTTTGCTTTGTTTAAAATTAATTTTACATCTTTGAAAAGCTCTGTTGTATTTAGCTCTGCGCTTAATTTCGGCACAGATTGTTGTATATCTTGTAACGGACGCGATAAAATTTTTAGATTATTCACGTGTAACTCCATTGCCTTCCGTAGCGTGTCATTTGATTCGCCAGCGCGTGCATGAGCTTCTGTGTATTTTTGAAATTCTCGTGTTAGTTCGGTAATATGTGGATTAGGTGTACGTTGGACTCCTGTAATCTTCTGAAAATCATTTTCTTGACGTTCTTCTTCAGCGAGTATTGTGGAAATTTCCTTGAGGTTTGTTTCGACATCTGCGCATATTTCTGCTAATTGTGACATGGCCGCTATTAGATCTTGTATAGCTGTTTTGTTGGCGTTCAGTTCTGCGCAACGGTCAACAATACCTTGTGGAATTTTATTAGCTTTCTCTTCGTTAATATTTAGATTATCGAGCGTAAGAGAACTCATAAAACTAGCTAATTCTGCATCTTTCTCCTCTATGTTTGAACCGTATTTGCGCAAAAGTTTGGCTTTTTCTTCGCTATATAACGAACTGGCTTCGTGAGCCTTCATAGGTACTAGGCGAGCAAATATATCTTCTCCGGCTACGTCGGGATCTGTGATACTGAAGCTTGTGCCATTTACCAGATTTGCTCCTTGAACTGCAGTTATTGAGGTCAACTCGGGCACGGCCTCGTGATAAATAAATTCGTTTTCGTTTTTAGCATTTTTGCGTTTTCCTTCTACAACATCAGCGGTAAAAATAAGAGACTCATTGATTTCTTTCTGGTCAGGTAAACCTTTTGATTCCTTTCTAGCTTCTTCCAGCTTTTCCCAAGCGGCCTGGAAATATCAATGTTAATTAATTATTTTTACTGTATGTGTACGTATGTATGTAAGCGAATTTTTTTAATCACCTGATATAAGGTTACTCTTTCTCCCATTTTCGCCTGTTCCTCTGCATGCTGTCCCTGATACAAATATAAAATACAGGTCAGGTACGATATTTTGAATCGTACATATTTTTTCCAAAGCTTGAACACCGAACTATCGACCACCTGTGCTATAGGTCCATCATCACCACCTGTAAGAAGAGCAGCCAAAGCTGCGCCATAGTACACTACAATTTGTGCAGTGACCTTAGCTACAATGTTTGGTTTACGATTATCTATAAGTGATTTTTCCAAAATGCACTCCTGAGCTTGGGCGAATGAAACCTGTTGCATGAACACTAGCAGTTCCGTGGTCATAAAATCACCTCCGCCGTTAAAATTAGTAAAACGCTCTCTTAACTCACCGAAGGCCCAAGCAGCACATTGAAAATGCGTGCAGGCCAATTTCATACCGTCCACATCGCCACGAGTAACAGACGCACCCATTTGTGTGTGAGAAGCAGCAATATTGAATAGCACAGCGGCTAATTCATACCGCAAATCAGTATACTCGTTAACATTGCTAAGATATAGGTCTTTCCAAGTAAAGGTGAATATGCTTCGCTCTGCCAATTGAGGGAATCGATTTTGCAGCGAATGTAATTGGCAATAGTATCGTTTTAGAATAGCGCATTTATCTTTTCCGGGGTGTAAAGCCTGGTTTCGAAGTGTTTCTAGTGCGAAAACTTCTTTAGAATATGCTTCAGGATCCTCCTGATAGAATTCCGCTATATACTGAAGCGTAAAATATACAAAATGAATATCCATTAAAATTATAATAGCGACATACATATCTACATACATACATATCGATGGTCCGGTGCAATAACGACACAATTCAGAGTTCAAAAATTAAAATCCCTTACTACTGTTCAGTCTCTAATCCTTCTAGTATCCAAGTCTAATCTTTAGTACTTGCTTTAGCAATCCTTACTCACAAGAGCCACTTAATATTAGTAACAGTTATTATTTTTTGAAATTTGCATTGTGTTGTTATTGCAGAGGACTATCGATATGTATGTTAGTAGCGATTATAAGTATAGCGATCTTAAATTAGACTATGTGGAAGAAACTTAGTAATAATTAAGTCCATTCGCAGAGAAGCGATCAGTTTTAACAATTCAAATTACACTGTGGAACACAAAAAACATAGAGTGCACATATATCAGGTTTGATAGCTGTTGGCCATACAAACAATGCCTCATAGTCAGATTTACAAAATCAATACATGTTCTCGAGAAAACAAATTTTCAGTATCTAAAAATCTCAGTACCTATAGCAGTAAATTTCTTTTCTCCAAATTTTTAAATTTTATCGTTTTTTGGTCTATATATATTAGCTTTATATGCTATTTTCAACAAATGTAGGCAAAAAAAGGATGCGTTTCCAAAATTGGGCGAAAAAAATTAGGATTTTTGGATCCTGAAAACTTGTTTTCTCGAGAACACGAATTTATCTAGCAAATCGAAGTATGAGGCATTGTTCGTATGGCCACAGCTAACAAACCTGATATATGCGCACTCCATTTTTTTTTTTTTTTGTGTTCCAGTGTTATAGGTCCTATTACATATATCATCTACATAGCAGCAGTGCGCATTCAAAACAATTAAAATAAGATTTGGATGACTCAACTACCCTAGTCCCTTAACATTCTACCACCAACCACTCCTCTACCCTTTTCATTGTGTGAACGATTAAGACCAAGTGGGTAATTTCTCCAATGTTATCCCCTGCGTTGAAAAAATGCCAGCTCTAAGTTCCTAGTTTTTCCGGGTACTCAATATTAATTAATTATGGTATTTAACTTAGCCGTGTGATAGATTTTCTAGAATTAGATGGATTTTGGTATACATCTGCTTTGTCCCACAACTATTCACCTTTTTCAGATTGGCAAAGGAGGTGCCTGTTGGGCTGGATTTTAACACAAACCACAGCATATGAAGCCGCGGCACAGCCTCCATCGTGATTAATAGTTATTTTTCTAAGGAACTTTTTAAATTTTACTTAATTTTTTCTGCAAAAAACACTGATTTTCCAACAACCTGACAAAAAGCAAATAATCGCTGCAGTGAAATGCAATTTTAACAGGGTTGAGTGCTATTGGTCCAGGGTTGCATGTAGAAATTTTTATGGTATAAAAGCTCATTTATAGTAGGATTAGTCAAGACCGCAGAATTTATATATAAACGCTGTAAGTTTACGCAGACGTTTGTCGATTACTGGAGCCCTCAAAAATCAGCTGTTCTCTCTTATTTTTATATGTATGTATATAAAAAAATTAACAAGTGTTAACAAGACCGAAAATCTACAGGTACTCTATACTATGTATTAGCTCTGATCCAATACTTTTCGTGAAAAATCCTGTAAAACTGTCAAACAGTGAAAGTGAAGTGAAGTGAGAGTAAAAAGTGAGTAACAACAAAAAGGAACAAAAAAACCATTTTTCCTGTAAAAATGTCAACCAGTGATTGCTTGACACTTTTCATGATTTTACCAGAAGAAAAAGTTCGGGTAAAATCTTGCAACTTCATTCTCTACACAACTCTCCAAAAGTCGCTCTCATTTACAGGATTTTGGAGGATTTCGGAGTACGGGAACATTTTTTCTGCAACTTCCTGCAAATTCGTGTAAAATCCTGTAAGTTCATGGAGTACTGGATCAGAGCTATTATTGTTATTGGTGCTAACGAAATGCACAAAAATTTCAAAATTTTTGTTTTTTATCGGCATATTTTTTACAGCGAGGCGCAGGAGAAATCACAACAGTGATGCGCCGAGTTTTGTGAGTTTATGGGAAATGTGCTGTTAATTTAAGGTAAAAAATTATCAGCGATTATCATAACGGCAACTTAGGCCAGAAGCGAAAACATTTCCTTTTTTATAACCTTCCTTTTATTAGCTCGGAATGTAACTATGTAATATTGATGCGCCTAAAAGATGCAGCGATTTATATTCTCAAGTTACATACCTAATGACAGTACGAATGACAATTATAATAGGGAGGTTTTAGTTTTTTAAACTATAATTTTATTAATTTCCTGGTTTAGCCATTTGGTAGTTCGCTGCCAATAATGTCACATTAAAAAATTATATATAAATTCTTCTCTAGAAATTTTTCATGAACGTAAATATTGCAATAAGCTAAAAAACAAATGAAACGTGCATACTTAGATATATTGGTTTGCGCAAACT